TTGGTGAAAATTTCATCTACGGTTAATGAGTAGGTATTAGTTAGTATCGAGTAAATTTGAAGAATGTTTCCACAAAAATCGAATGATAGTCTTAAGGAAGCCAAAGACGCTGGAGAAAAGTTTCAAAGAAGTTTTCGTAAATTTTCAAGAAAAATTCAAGATTGTTTCAAAAACATCTGAAAAATTTTAATAAAGTTTCGATCCATATGCGAAAGTTCGCGTATGGTTGAAGGTAATTTCAAGAAAATTTTCAAGAAATCGAATCCGATCAAACCTTTAAAAAAGTAAAATAAGGTTCAAGAAAGTGCAAAAAAATTCAAAAAAGTTTAAAATGTTTTCAATAAAAGTATCAAGAAGCTACGAAAAAGTTTCAATCGAAATTTGGAGAAATTTTAGAATGAGCTTCCGAGAAAGTTTTATGGAATTTTTAAGAGCCTCAAAGAAACTTAAAGGAAGTTTCAAGAAAGTTTCCAAGAATTTTTGGGGAAACTTCCTTCAATGGCACTTAAATTTAAAATTTTTAAAGATTAAAAGAAAGTATAAAAAAATTCAAGAAAGTTAGGAAGTTTGAGATGATTTTGAAATAAATTTCGAAAATTTCGAAGAGGCCATAAAAACTTCAACAAAATTTTAATCAAACTTTAGAGAAATGCAGTTCTAGTGATGCAAAACTTTTAGGAAGTCTCGCGTAATTTCCAAAAAAAACATGACCATAAAGTGTTAGAAATGCCCATCACGAAGACTCAGGGAGAGGTCTCAAGAGAGGAAAAGTATGACCAACATCTATGAAGATTTGAGGGGCGGTTTAGGTGGACATTTCAGGAAAGTTTCAGGGACATTTCAGAAGGTAACGTTTTCAAAAACTTTTCAAAGAAGCAGCAGGATAGTGCCAAGAAGGCCCAAAAAAGCTAATTCAAAGAATTCGAAAGAACGTCGAGAAAGTTTCAATGAAAATTCCAGCCAGTCGATGCAAACTGCAAAGACGAGGAAGCTTCAAAGAGACAATTTTTGAAGGAAACTTCAAGAAAGGAGGTTTCGATGAATGTTCAGCAGACTAGTTTAAAGGGAACTTCCTCGGAAACTTCCAAATAGTTCCAGAAAAGTTTCAAGGAAACCAAAATGAAGCTTTTAAAAGCTCGGCTGTTCCGAACGCTGGATGCTAAGTGCAGCTCCATGAAAACTCTCACTGACCAAAAAAACGCCGAGCTTTCTGGTTGACGAGCTCCATCAGAATCTCTCTAACCCCGCGGCTCTTATCAGAATCTTTCTGCACCACGACTCTCTCTACATCATGATTCTCACCAGAGTGCAAAAACTTATCCCCTTTCTACACTAAGCTAACTTAAAACATAATGGACAGCAATGGCGGAGGTGTTCAAGTAATTCCCATTGGTTCGTTAACGTTAGGACTGCCTTCCAAAAAAGTTGATGAAGCGGAATTTTTCTTTACTTCGTCTCGAGGAAGCTTTGACTTACCGCTTAAGATATGAAACATTAGTAGTGCCCCTTTTTATGACGGAACTCGACACCGTTTGTCGTCAATCGCACGTCGACGGTTATAAAGCTCTGAACTCCAATCGACAAAATAACCTTGACTGCATTTAACCTTGAGAAATTTATTCTTCCGCATATTTTCATGAAATAAAACGTAAAATGCACGTAAAAAAAATTTACGTCAAAATAACCTCCCCGATACAAGGGGGTCTGGAAATTATGAAGTCTTCTTTTGCCCAGAGATAGGAGTTAAAAATAAGAGAGGAGAACATTTCTCTATCCTTTTAATCATTTCTGAGATATTTTTCAATTTTTGTAAACCTTTCCGAAATATCGATTTTTTCTCAAATTTTCTAGTGTAATTGGTAACGGGAACCTCCGGGGGGTCTACGGAGTATGGGAATCCCCCCCCGCCCCTCCAGCACAAATACTCCCCAGTAAAAAATTCTGATCCGTTTTCTCTACAATCATTATCATCATTTGACCTGTAGGGTCCGTTAACTTGGCCCCCCCACTGAGAGATTTGATAGTCGTATTATTTTAAAATGAATGCGCTCATATGCGCCACCGATAATAACTCTTGCGCCATTATCGTTTTTTAGAAATCCGAAAAAACATTGGGGGGGCCAAGTGAACGTAGCCCCCCCCAGTACGTATTTTGTCCCTTGTAACTAGGTCACCTGATACATTTGGTTATGCGCTCAATTGCGCCACTTGAATTAAAGCTAGCGCCATTACGGTTAAGCCGTGACAAATTTTCAAAAAGTGGGGGGGGGCAACTTAACGTTTTTAAAAGTTACTTTTTTTTAACATCTTTTCATACGAAATTGTACTCTCAGGTATGCGCTGAAATGCGCCGTAAAAAGATATCTTTGCGCCATTATTGTTTTTTGGCTATCCTTAAATATATTTGGGGGGTCCAAGTGAACGGAATCCCCCATAACGCATTTTGCTACCGGTATTTGTGCCACTTGATACATCTGGTTATGAGCTCAATTGCGCCACTTGAATTAAAGCTAGCGCCATTCCGGTTAAGCCATAAAAATTTTTTAAAAAGTGGAGGGTCTAACTTAGCGTTTTCAAAAGTTATTCCCGGAAGTGCGTCCATTTTGAAAATATTTTACATCGATTCGGCCTTAGGAGTAACTCCTAAATACAAATTTTTAAAAACCTACCTATTTTACTTTCTCAGAATCGTTTAACTAAAGCTCCCAAAAAAACACCTTGTATATAGTGTTTCTGAAACACTATAATGGCGCCAAGATTTTTGTTTACGGCGCATTTTAGCGCATGATGAAAGGTACGATGTAGTAGAAAAAACATGTTAAAAAACGTAACTTTTGAAAACGTTAAGTTAGCCCCCCCCCACTTTTTAAAAATTTTTTATGGCTTAACCGTAATGGCGCTAGCTTTAATTCAAGTGGCGCAATTGAGCTCATAACCAGATGTATCAAGTGGCACAAATACCGGTAGCAAAATGCGTTATGGGGGATTCCGTTCACTTGGCCCCCCCCCCCCAATATATTTAAGGATATCCAAAAAACAATAATGGCGCAAAGATATCTTTTTACGGCGCATTTCAGCGCATACCTGAGAGTACAATTTCGTATGAAAAGATGTTAAAAAAAGTAACTTTTAAAAACGTTAAGTTGGCCCCCCCACTTTTTGAAAATTTGTCACGGCTTAACCGTAATGGCGCTAGCTTTAATTCAAGTGGCGCAATTGAGCGCATAACCAAATGTATCAGGTGACCTAGTTACAAGGGACAAAATACGTACGGGGGGGGGCTACGTTCACTTGGCCCCCCCCAAATGTTTTTTCGGATTTCTAAAAAACGATAATGGCGCAAGAGTTATTATCGGTGGCGCATATGAGCGCATTCATTTCAAAATAATACGACTATCAAATCTCTCAGTGGGGGTGGGGGGGGGGGGCAAGTTAACGGACCCTCGTTTCACTAATGAATCGAAATACCTCGCGACAAAACTTGTCGAAGAAATTCGTAGTTCCATAATTTGATACATGGTAAGATATTCGGTTTAATTCGAATAAAAATACTGCGATTCGGTTCATTTTCCGGTTTGAAAATTAAAAATCAGACTTAAAGGCTCAACACGAAGGTCTTCTCATTCTCGATTTCGGAGTAGAATTGAAAATGATATCGGTTAAGCCGCAGATTTAACATTTTAAGTTTGCAATTATTGAAATCGGTAAGTTGCATTTGTACTTTCTCGCCCAAAAACTACGAGGAGCTTAGCAAATCCCCCCTCCCTCGCCCCAGCAGATGAAGATTACCTATTTCCTATGTTCCACCAAACTGTCGTAAGAATCCTGATGACTGAACGTTTTGGAAACGTTGCCATAGCACCGGGGGATCTGGGGGGGTATGAAATATCCCCCAGCAGATGAAGAATTGATGATTTCTCTGAAGATTACTACGACAGTTCTAAGTGTAATATTCAAGCAGTTATCGCCCTGCTTTGCTGAAGAGTACATACTGGGGGGTATTCCATACCGTTATATTCCACCCACACCCCAGACCCCCTCGGTGCTGTATTCCCCAAAACTGTCGTGAAAGTCCTGATGACTAAACGTTTTGGTAACGTTGACACGTCACCGGGGGGACTGGGGGGTATGAAGCATTTGTCATTTTCTGAAGACCCCCCGGTGGTATGCCTACGTTTGGTCATTTAGTCATCAGAACTCTCACGACCGTCTTGGGGAAGACAGTAGTATCGGGAGTATGGAATAACCCTAACCCAAAACGCTATCGTCTTGTTTTTTAGGGGAGTATACTGGGGGATATGGAATATCCCCAAACTTCCCTGTGCTACTGTGTTCCCCAACACTTTCACGAGGGTCCTGAGCACGGGGAGGATACCCCTTGACACCTTCACCTGAAGACTCTGTGAGAGTTCTAAGTGCAATCTGGAAAACGCTATCGTCCTGCTTTTTGGAGAGTGTACTGGGGAGCATTCTATACCCCCAGACCCCTCGCTGCTACTTTCTTCCCCAAAACTATCACGAGGGTCCCGAGGACTGAACGTTTTTTTGAGAATACAAGTAATAAGTTTCGACACACTTTTCGGAGGACTATCTAGCTGCTAAGGGTAATAGGGAAAGAGTTCGGGGGTGCTACTTTCTGTCCTAAAAAGTCTTGAAGACTGCGCGGGGGAGAACGTAGCAGCGGAGGGTCTGCAGGGCACGGAATACTCTTCGGTTCCTACTTCAAACGACTACCGTGAGAGGGGAGTATTAAATTGTCGAAGTGTGGGACCAAACGAACCACTTCGGGCACCCAGTTCATTTGGAGAAAAACTACCCTCCGCCGTTAAGCCTCCACATTTTTGAAACTTAAGATTTTGAGACACTTCAGAAAAATTGCATAGGCTCAACATCGGGTTTGCCATTAATGACTCATCTAGTATAAAAACAGTCACGTCAATCACTCAGGTAACCGCCCACTGCAAAACTTACGTCTTTTTCTTTACTTGGGCTAGATAGATATGAAAGTAAAAACTCAGGCGACCAGTTTTGCAGTAGGCGGCTACCTGTGATGATTGACGTGACTGTTTTTATACTAGAAGAGCAATAGTAGACCAAATTTCACTCCCAAGTCATAAATTGGGTCAAGTTGTAATCCATTATATTGAGCCAAACGTGAACTGTCTTAAATCTTAACTATGCAGTGTAATAGTTTCAAAAGTAATAGGCCCCTTTCTTACAGCTTACATTCGATAGTTTTACGTTGGGTCGCTTCGTGTCCTTTACTTCCGATGGTTGTCCGGACGGTGCCTTACAAATAACCGAATTAAATCGGCCACACGTCGGGGGATCCTGGTGTGGCACGTCTTGGTGTCCCGAAATCTACTACAGCGAAACTAAAAGCGTAACGATAACGGTTAGTCTACTCAGGCTGGCCAAGGATCAGAACGGTTACAACTTCGACTTTCGGATGGAGTACAAGCTATTGCGAAAACAATCGGCCACCGTTAGGTACGGTGGGGGTAAGTTTTTGATTGGCCCCTCTGATGCCTGAATATCGACGTGATTTTAGGCCAGCTCATAGTGGACGTGAACACCACGGTACCGTCAGTGGTGGAGCCTGAATCCGAGTACTACCTAGGCGATTTGATCGCGGGGACGTACTGCTCGAGAATCTATAGCGATTGTGATAGGAAGCGTTGTCGGCTACAGTCGCCTAATTTTCCCGGGCTGTATCCGCGTAACGTGACTTGCTACTACGCGGTGCGCCAACACGAAATACCCGAAGGCAAGCACGCGCTTATAACAGTCCGGCAGTCGAAAGGACAGCTAATCTCGATTCGTAGCCAGTCGGCGTTACACGGAACGGCAAGCACTAGAGAGCTGAAGGTGTGGAACGCGTGTGATGATGTCCAGGATTACGTGACCGTGTATGACGGTTACACGACGCGTGATCCTATCATACTCAAGTTTTGTGGAGGAGGCGAAGCCGTTCCGGAGGCGGTGTCGAGCGGACACGAGTTACTAATTGAATTTTCCACTTCTCCATTTGGAACGTTTTCGCATCCCATCCCCGTTCAGTCACTCCATGGTTTTCAGCTGGATGTGGAGGTACGTAGCCGATGATCATTGCAACGTTTCACGGACCCTTCCAGGTAAAATTCGTCGATCAGCTTTCCCCAATGTTCATAAAGCACAAAAGGAACTGCGAGTTTTGGATCAGGGGTACAGATAAAGGTATCTTGGATAATCCACTGCACTCACTCCCTGCCAACACCACGTGCTTGTACCACCTCCAAGGGATCGACACGTCCGTATCGCCTTCGCCGATTCCCTTCCGGCCGATATCCAGGTACCCTGAGGGAATTTGGAGACCGACCAGGCTACTGTTTCCACCGCCTCGGTACAGGGTATGGCTATCGGTTACCAAATTCCACGTGGCGGGTTCGAAGGACTTGCAAAAACAAGACCAGGAAATGTGCAGAAGTAGCTTGAAAGTTTGGGATGGACAAGTATGGACCGGAACTAATTGCAACGACTTATTCTGGTAAGCCGACACTTCCACTCTATTACAAACTTTACGTATTTCAACAGCAGCAAGGATAAGTTGAAAAACGTCCCGAAAACGAGCATGTCAGGGCCCTTAGGGCTCGGAAAAAACGTGACCCTTCTAGCGAGATATTGTCGAGAACATATAGCGAGAACGTGCGATCATTCCATGTTAGCAAATACCACCCGGTTTCCACGTCCGTGTTCATTAAGCGAGAGTTTCCTATCCTCCGGAGATAGTCTCACGTTAGAATTACAAGTGTCCGACTCGACGGCGTTGAGGTATAGGAAACTTAACGCGATCATTTCTGATTCTTTCCTTGCAGGCCGGTACAATTTCGCGCCTTGTACGAGTTCGTCGATTTGCATCAAGACGGCGAGCCTTACGGAATTGGAGCGTGTTCGAGGAAATTTACTACTCCCCTACAAAATACGCAGCAGAAGTTTCAGGCGCCACGCGATATATTCCTTTACGGGCGAGGCGGAGCGAAAAATTTAAGGTATGTGTTTACGTAGAATTTGTGCGCTAACTCCCACGATTTGTGCGTCAATACTAAGGAAAATACAAATTTTGACTTTAACGAGCGCTTTTCAGAGGATTAAAGGCTTTTGAAAGGAATAGGGAGCTTTCCAAACGCTTTTCAGCGCCTCTCAAAGCAATCTGTCATTCCATTACTTCGAAAATGGGGGGAAAAGACTTTATAATACTACAATCTAAAAAGGGCATTAAAGGCCGAGCCACACAGGGTGCGGTCTGCGATATTTGTATGCTATGTTAAGGCTCTGCCACACAGAAAACAGTTTGCGATACTTGTATTCTAGTAAACGCGGTCCGAAACTTCTCTTTTGGACAGGTACAATGCATTTTTCGAGGCATTTACGTAACAGATCTCGCAGACCGCGCTTTGTGTGGCAGGACCTTAAAATCACAGGAAATGGGTCTAAAACTGACTCTGTAAGGGAACATAGAATGCTCCCCAAAAAAAAAACCAAAAAATCTCCGGAAGCGCTAAACGGTTTCCACAACATTTTAAGTGGTTACAAAGTTTCAAGGGTTTTCTAATGCAATCGTAAGCTGTTTGAGTCTACTGTACACTTTTCAAGACCGTTTTATCCATTTTTTGCTTCAGTTTTTAGGCCATTCTGGGCCCATTCCAGAACGTATCTCTGAACATTTGCAGACAGTGGCGTACTTTCGCATGGACACGGGGGGCAGCATTTTTTGAAAACTAGGTCATATTACATATTATTAAAGAGTACACTTTTAGCGCATTTTTCAACATAGATGGATTGTAGCCACTTTCTCTGTCCGCCCGTCCGTCCGAGTCCTTAACTACTCCTACAGTTTTCAAGATAATTAATCGGTTCTCTGGCACCTGAGCGAACAGAAATCTTGGAGATTACGTGCATATGTGCACTCTGTTCAATGTCAACTTTTTTATTTACGAAAATGGTTTTTTGATATTTTAACCACAAATACTTCTAGTAAAGGAAACATATCCTATGCAGTAAAAATCAAGTATATAGTTATTACTGTGTGCCCCACGTTGGGCGCCAAATGAAAATGCTGCGGACTATGGCACCCATAAAACACCTGTCCAGCTAACTTTAAATTTTTGCTTGTCTGGCATTCACTATAAAAAAATCCTTGACTTCCAACTTTAATAATTGGGAAGAATTCCTCGAAGAATTCCAACGAAGTAGCTAAACAAAAATTAATTTAACGGGTCCGTTAACTTGGCCCCCCCACTGAGAGATTTCATAGTCGTATTATTTTGAAATGAATGCGCTCGTTATGCGCTCATATGCGCCACCGATAATAACTCTTGCGCCATTATCGTTTTTTAGAAATCCGAAAAAACATTTGGGGGGGGGCCAAGTGAACGTAGCCCCCCCAGTACGTATTTTGTCCCTTGTAACTAGGTCACCTGATACATTTGGTTATGCGCTCAATTGCGCCACTTGAATTAAAGCTAGCGCCATTACGGTTAAGCCGTGACAAATTTTCAAAAAGTGGGGGGGCCAACTTAACGTTTTTAAAAGTTACTTTTTTTAACCTTTTCATACGAAATTTTTGAAAATATTTTACGCTCGAAATGGCCTTCGGAAAGAACTCTTTGCGCAAATTTTTAAAAACCTAACTATTTTACTTTCCCAGAATCGTTTAACTAAAGCTTCCCAAAAAAACACCCTGTATAGTGTTTCTGAAACACTATAATGGCGCCAAGATTTTTGCGGCGCATTTTAGCGATGATGAAAGGTACGATGTAGTAGAAAAAACATGTTAAAAAACGTAACTTTTGAAAACGTTAAGTTAGCCCCCCCCCCACTTTTTAAAATTTTTTATGGCTTAACCGTAATGGCGCTAGCTTTAATTCAAGTGGCGCAATTGAGCTCATAACCAGATGTATCAAGTGGCACAAATACCGGTAGCAAAATGCGTTATGGGGGATTCCGTTCACTTGGCCCCCCCCAAATATATTTAAGGATATCCAAAAAACAATAATGGCGCAAAGATATCTTTTTACGGCGCATTTCAGCGCATACCTGAGAGTACAATTTCGTATGAAAAGATGTTAAAAAAAAGTAACTTTTAAAAACGTTAAGTTGGCCCCCCCACTTTTTGAAAATTTGTCACGGCTTAACCGTAATGGCGCTAGCTTTAATTCAAGTGGCGCAATTGAGCGCATAACCAAATGTATCAGGTGACCTAGTTACAAGGGACAAAATACGTACTGGGGGGGGGGGGGCTACGTTCACTTGCCCCCCCCCCCCAAATGTTTTTTCGGATTTCTAAAAAACGATAATGGCGCAAGAGTTATTAACGGTGGCGCATATGAGCGCATAACGAGCGCATTCATTTCAAAATAATACGACTATCAAATCTCTCAGTGGGCGGGCCAAGTTAACGGACCCGATGAATAGGGAGTTGGCAATCAAATTTTTCGCTTAGGAGACTTAAATACACTTTTTGATCAAATTGAGGTTCGCGTCCCTTGTGCCCTGTTAGTTCAGATCAGAATGATTTTACCAGTTTGACTCCGGGGAGATATCCTGACGCTGGAACCTTAATCTGCACCCCCCGATTCTGATTTGTCCCATATTAATATGTCACGTTTGTCGCGATGTCAGCTAATCCAGGAAATGTGGCAATCATTTTGCTCTCGTTGGAAAAATGAATATCTGCATAATCTTTATCAAAAAATTCACAAATTTCGCAATCCATGCAACGATCGGGGACATTGGAAATGATAATGATCCCGGGTAAATAATGATTATTTGTGTTTTACATATGGCGTTATACGGTTATCGTTTCCAGAGTCTCAGATCTATTGCGAAATCAGTGAATTTGTTGTTATTTTATTTATTTTATTAGTTAACCGACCGGACCCCAACCACACACTTCATATTGATTTATTTAATTTTGTATTGCGATAGGGAGTAAAGCTTCTGCAGATACTTTTCTGTTTATTTACCCCAAACGACCAAGCCTTTGTACGCTACAAATAATTAGTTGCTTACACAAAAATACGAAATTGGAATAATCAAAATAGTCATTACCTACACTCCCTATAGGTTTCGAGCGCTGTTGCCTTTCAGAATGATGCATAGGTATTTTCAACAAAATGGAATAACCCTCGTAACTAAATTCGATCTATATTTAACATTTATCTACATTATACACTTTGTGTGTTTAACGTTAAGATAAAAGTTGTTATCTCAAATATGATTTACCGTCTAGCCGCCATATTTAATCTATTAGATATTTACGGTTCGCACAAAAAACAGGTGAGTCCCTTTAAATAAATTGAACCATTGTTCAATTTTAACTTCAGGACCTAATCGCCGTAATATGGGCGGTAAAAATTCAAAGTCGCAGCTTCAACGTAACAAATCCATCTCGAAAATCGGCCGGAGCAGCCAAAGGGGACTGTTTCAGAAGTCCAAGTTGAAGTTGAACCAAATTCAGAGAAGATTAGACGACGACAATCGCGACCAAATCCAAGGTGAGCTGAATGCGGTCGAGGAAGAACTGGGCAGCATTTCCGAGGTGGTCAAGGATAAGCATCGGGAGAAGTACGAGGAAATCCTGCAACAGGTACGGGAGACGAGACGGAAATTTGACGAGAAGTTCAAGGTGCCGGTTAAAGAGGTGCAGGTATGTGAAGCTCTTCCGGAGGTGGTCCAAGTGCACGTTCCAGATCCGGAAGTAGTGGAAGTACCCCAAACCGAAGTGGTTGCACCTCCTGAAAGTCCGAAAATTACATCTGGCGTACCGATGTTGCCGGCGGAAGTGGTAGAAATGCGTCAAACTGAATCAGTTACTAGCGCAACTCCCCCTGGAAGTCCGAAAATTAAGTTTGGTGTACAGGTGATGCCCGTGGCGCCTCCTCGAATATCGCAGGAAATGTTGAAAAATACGTTGCCAACCAGTCCGATTGCCAAAGAAGAATTTGCGGAGATTAGAGCCAGCTATGTAAATTCGACAAGGTCTAAAACCATCTTCCGCTCAGCATCGATCGTCGAAGAAAACGGAGTGGTAAGAAACGTGCAAGAGATCAGTGTGGAACAGACCACCAGCTCGAACACGATCGATAATGTCCGCCATTTGGTTGACGAACTGGAGAATTCAATGAGATATTTTCACGGCACGAAAGGGGACTTTGAGTATGATCAGATACATGACAGGCTTGTACAGAATTTGGTTAAACTGGACAATTTCGACACTGATGATAATCCCGTTCTTAAGCAAGAAAAGAAGATTTTAATCCAAAGAATCCAAGAGTTACTGGGTATTTTAGATCGCCTGGGGAGACCTTTACCAAATCAGCCCATGGCAAACGAGGATAATATGATCCTCAGTACCGCCACTTAGTGATTGACGCTTTTTTTTTGTACGTTTTCTATTGAAATGCATGCTTTTCTTCTTTGATCGACTAATTATTTATATCACTGTTTGTGTGACTGTGTGTAGTAGGCAATAAACCCAAAAACGATGTAGTATGTCGAAATTAGGTTAGATAACAACATGTAACTAATGCCGTCTTTGCTAAATCGCGACTTTAAATCTAGATAACAACCCTTTCAGTGACACATTCGTAATCCGACCCATTTAGATTAGAAAACCTCAATAAATCAGCGAGAAAAGCTTTTGTAATTCGACAAGCGTAAAAAGTTTTCAATTTCGAATCGAGATTGAGAAGCGACAGTAGGTTAAAAGTATTTTCGCTTCTTCTCCGCCCTCAAGTTTATTTCGTCAATTAAATTAACATGCGCGAATGTTACTTGAAACAAAGTTTAATCCCCTTCTCTTCGGAAACAAAATTCTATCCGTTGATTTGAACTGATTCAGCGACGGAAGTGTCTCGTCTACATTTTGTTGCTTGCAAGTTTTAGGCGAAATTTAGAATAAACCCTTTTTTAACTAACAACCGTGCAAATTACACATTTTAAATGTCGACTGCGTGTTATTCTAATATTATTAGGGTGGCGGAAGTGGGTCACAATTTTCCATCGCATTTGCATTCGTTACTTCTTCCTAAGGAACACACTACCTCAATTTACAAATAAGAACGCATACTTAACCACCTTTTAACGTACAAAATGATGACGGCACCCTTCGTGAACTGTGAATTTGGTTCTTTGCCAAATTTTGGAAGTCGCACTACCGACCACTGCGCATGTCCACCAATTCTATTAAAAATCCCATAATCCAAATTGTTTTCTGAGTTGTTAACTCGAATGCCTTTTACTCTCCATGAAATTCCACAATTTGCAAATTTAGAAATCTGCCCAGAGCACAATTTCCTATCTTAAACATTGGATTCTCAATAAGGAATTCCGATTAATCACCCTCAAATTTCTATATCAATTGAAAGTTACCAGTGTGGCTGATCCGCGAAGCCTATCTTTTTTTTGATGCTACATGCATTGCAGTACTTCCTAGGAGAAGAGAATATGATCATTTGCTCAATGTTCATTTTTTTAATGGTGGCGTTAAGTGGTGTGCTTATACACTGTGTCCAAAACAATAATGTCTATCATGGTGATCACGAAAACTATAGATTATAGAAGATACCATGATGGTAAGATTACAGAAAAGTTGCCCAATTAAAAGGTTCTTATGATGCTATACGGTTACTTCCGAAGAGATGTCACAAAATCCAAAATTTGCGGATTTTGTTTTTATTTTTTTCAGATGTTATTTGAACAGATACAAAAAATACAAACACAAATTTTCCATTTTTCAGAAAACTTGTCCGATAGGTATCCTCGCATGATTATGGCGTTGTGCGCGAGTGCACCATTCTGTTGAAACCAACCGTTTCTAACTTTTGTTTTTTTTTTGTGCACCGTACATCGTTGTATTCGTAATTAAACATGCTACTCAATACAGCGTGTTATTTTTTACGGGCCATATAAAAAAATAAATTTAATGATTTCTCCGAAACGAAGCGTTCTAATAAAAATCTCTTTCATTGTAGAGTTCTTATAGTGGCAATGAAAGTGTTTTATTAATTTTTTTGAGCTACTTAGATCAGACAAAAATAAAAACAAAGTTTTTCTGGCATATCTTCGGAGATAATCGGAACTTTTTGGTTTTATATAAAACATGATAATTACTCTTCAAATGTGCAACGTTTCTTTAATTTGACCACCTTATGGTTTCCGAGATCCCCGTGATAGACACCCTTATCTTGGACACGGTGTATATCAAATATTGATTCATTTAATAATGTCTTCTTTCGAATTTCGGTTTAGCTCTAGTTAATGATCTTAACTTTTCGTTTTTAAATGCGACACTCTGTATATTTTATTTACATCGGACGCAGAATAAAAAACTCCATAAGAAACGTTATAGCGTTCCGGGATTTTTTACTTGCCCTTTACGTGGGTAGAGAAAGTGCAAAACATGCCCTAAATGTATTTTCTTGCAAAATAAGCAGTGGTAGAGGGTGTGTCTATTTTTGTATACAATGAAAGGGTTTAAAGGTAACTGAATTCGTATGCAAAATAAAATGTCGCTTTTCATTATTGGGGTATAAGTGAAATAATATTTTATTTATCGTTCCTACCTTAATCATCGTTTATTATTCAAAACACTTTGATTTTGACATCCCTTGATTTAGGCGTTCAACAACAATCCGTACTCGTACCAAAACAATCTTGTTTAGTCGTTCGCAAAGTTTTTTTTTAGCTTACGCTGTTTAACCTGCCTTGGCATTTAAATTTGTTCAAGTTTATAATTTTGTCCTCGACGAATTAAATTATCATATGTACCGCTGTGTATGAATAGCGGCGACAGCCACGCCCGAGGTGAATCTGTTGCGTATTTGGAAATATTCACACCAAAACTTCGACGACGGTCAAACTAAATTATGTTGTGATTGCAAGAACACTAAAGAAAGTTAAACCGGTTTCGGTATAAACGAATTAATATAGGCAATTGCAAAGTTAAGATCATTTAATAATAGCGAGGAACTCTCCGAAACAGCGCGCATATTTATGGAAGTTGAAGACTTGTTTAGTGCTACTTAATCTGGGCGAAACTGTTTATCCAATTATCAACATATTTTGGGGTGGTTTTCGAGCTTCCGTAAATAACGCGACTGCACATACCACGGAACGCTGACCTTGTCCTAGGGGAATTTTTTCTCTACGAGCGATTTTCTGGAGATTGGCGCTACTTCCCTAGCTAATACTGACGAGATAAAAGGTATTGTGATATTTGTGGGTTTTGCTGTAATTCAAGAACCTGTAAAATATTATAAAATTTTAATTTGTCACATTAAGTTTTCTATATTGTATATGTTTTGATGAGGTTTAACTGAGAGGGGGGGGGGGGTATTTCTTTTTAAATTACTATTCAAATACGGACATTACCCCAAATTATGGTAAGGGGATCAGAATCCTGGTGTATGTAGATCATCAAAAGGAGGAATCTTCATTTAGATATTTTTATTCAAAATAGGTACTTAACCATTTAGGAAATTCTGAGTTTTGTGATCGACCAGATTCAGTAGTAACTTTGAAATCAGATGCCCTGGATCAAAGAGCATTTAAAGATCAGTTCCATCCATGTGAGAGTCGATTAAGCTAGCTGGTGCAACTCGTATTATGATACATTTTAAAGTAAACAGTTCAAGTTTGGTAATTCACTGTTACAGCTTTCCCTTGGTGATTCAGACCTTTTTATAGCTTTGGAAACATTTAATTTTGGCAACATTTGCGAGGTATTGACTACTCCAGCCATTTATACGTTTTTTTTTAATGCAGCGGAGACAAAGTAAGCTGTGTGTGACAAATGACCAAAAAAAGCTTTCTACTTCGTAGTAAAAGAAGCAAAAATTGTATGCAAATGCTTTAATTAACGTGTTATAATCAATCAGACGCATTTATGCGGCGAGTCACGCAACTGATGACATTAAAGTATACCATACGCGTTTTTTATTGGACAGGGAATATCGCCCCTAATAAAGAATTGTACCTATTGGCATTGCGCTTTTCTGCAAGCATACGAAATTAAGATTCAAAAGGAAAAAAATCCTGTGTAATCTTCTAACAATGGTACCCATAGAATCTGTTTCATCTGGGTTCTTTAGATATAAACAGTGTATTACTCAATATTGCATCAGTTTTTAGCGCTATTGTTCGACCTTTTTCGCTAATTGGTTCGTTATGGTGTCGATGCGTGCCCCAAGGAAGGAGTTTTTACTAAAAAAAGTAAAAAATAAATTTGGACTATGCTAGTAAAGCCAATATCCTAAATCCTAACATGATAACAATACAGTCACACAAGCAAAACAGTGGGAAAGATTATTCCCTTATGTTGTTAATGAAGTCTTTAAAACACTAGAAGGCTTGCCAGCGACTCAAAATACTTTAGGAAAAGTCTTATATTTCTATGGTTATAGGTATGTACATATTTCAGGACCAATATTCTTATAAGGGAAACTTCCATACTATCGTCCTGGGTATTGTAAAATAAGTATGATGAATGTTGCGAACAAGAGATCACCGTTATTTTCAGGATTTCTTAATGAACACTTCTATAGGGTAGGTAGAGGAAAACTCCCTTTTTCTCAAAGCAATTTCCTACAACCAAATTGTTACTTATTTTACAATTGTAAATTGCATTTCACGAAACAAACGCCGATCAGAGTAAAATAGACAATAACTTAACAAGTGAAATTGAACTGGATTTTGAAAATGTTGCAAAACAATTATATTATAGATACTAACGTTTTGTGGGGATAACTTCTCCGACATCCTCAATAGCTTTTTAATCTTTTGTTTTTGGAAATACTAGGTTATATAAACAGCAATCAATTTATTAATGCCACGACGAGAATATACCACGCATCTTATTTGCAACCCAGAATTCAGCGTGGCACAATTCAGCATTACATTTTATTGACAACTGCAGTCTGTGATACCTAAAATTAATCTGTAAAGCGAGTGCCATTTGCATTTGTATCGACTAATTATTCTAATTACTCAGGCTAATCGATTCTCACGTTTCTCTCTGACAAACATGCTCAACATCAACAACATAATTATGAAACTGTTCATTTAGTTCTATTGTCGGATCAAAGTTTCTTGGTTTGTTTCCTTCTTTACCCTTTGGTTTCAGAAAAAATCCAAAAGTCCAACGGCTCAAACTGTAAATCAAAATCACCAATTGATTTATCTTCCATTGACACTGCTGTCTTCGTGATTTATTTCTAAAATCTGCATTAAGTTTTTTTGAATAGTAAACCGTTGTACCACGACGGTTCAGTACAATCTTTGAATATAACATTTTTATATTCAAAGGTACAATTAAATATCTTGATTGGACAATTTTTGAATTTTAAGCAAATTTCTTCAATCAATCAACTGAACCGACGTTTACCTATCGGAATACGAGGACAGAATGAAACGGACGGCTTCGCCTAAGGCTACGTTCACACAGGACGCTATCGCGCGATGAGCTATGAAATACTTTTCGATGCGAATTAATCGCAAGCAAATATCCTTGCCTTTTCTAACAAGTTGCGATGCGATGCAATCAATCGCAGGCCATCTAGGGCTATATTTACGACAGTAGTCTCATGTTTTGTGTACGAAACTTCGAAGGTACATACGTACTAGCAGAAAGTTCTCTATTAAAATAAAATGTATGGTAGTATCCAAATTAACTACTTAAACAAAAACGTTGTTTGCTGAATCTAACGTGCGGTTGGTAAAAACAAGTCGCGTACTTAAATAGGCGAAAAAAAACTGACTCTGAAAGAGAGGGCAGCACACTTAACATGAGATCAACTGATCGCCTTCGTCGATTACAGAATCTGTTTCACTTTTCTTTCTCAATAGACTAGTCACTTTATGTTTTCCCCCATTTAACTCTTAAAATTCTGCTAATGGACTTCTGAAATACCTAGCTAAAAAGTTGTAACGTTTGGTAAAGAGCATATTAGCTTAAAGTAAGTAAGTTAAGAAAAAGAAAATTTTATGGTGACAATTTTTGAGTAGTCTCTTGTATTTAAATCAGATGCAATATACAAGTTATATAGGGTGGATCATTTTCGCGTAGTAAAAGGTGAACTTTTAATAAACGCCCAGGTAGTACAGTTTTGGGATCAGGTATCTTCACTAATTTCTTCATACTCTAGTGCTATGGGCGCAAAATTGAATCATGGGAGTCATATATTGTATTGGGATATCCGTGGCTGAATTTAAAAACGCATTTCATTTAGTTATTTCGAAACATCCAGAGGAAGTACCAGAAGAAGAGAGGAACAATAAATAAATAAATACAGTTCCGATTCTTCGCTATATCATGTTGTTTCCTCTTCTCGTGCGGTTTGCAGATTTTGTGTCTTAGCAATACGAAGAGGGGGCCTCCAATTAACTTTTCTTCTGTTTGATGTGTGTAAGTTTCTCGTATGATAATCGACTGCTGACCTTTTTACATGTACTTTTTCGTCTGAAACTAATGGTACCCGATGCTGGAGTAGAGATTCCAATTTATGTATCTTCTGATGTGTTTTTTTGTACTAAATCGATTTTTCTGTTTACCATTTGTACTTATTGTGCCACATTGATCTCGTTTTATTAATTTGTTTAGCTGCATTTGTCTCAATACCTGATTTGATATATGTATTTTTCTCTTGCATTATGCTGCCGTGAATGATTTACTTCTTGTAATTGCCTATGTTATGCCAGGTTCATTTGTATAATGAAGGTTTTTTCCTGGCTGTGTGCCATTTCTCGTATCTTTTCTTCGTACAAAGCGCCTCGTTTTGATTCAATTTCCCTCACAAATATGTCTCACGTCTCAACACAAAGGAACCGCCGCAGTATAACACAACATAGGAGCTCCAATCGTACCACCTGGCTTTGTTACCGAGATTTGAATGTGGTGCGAAATGTACGGCATTTCAACATTTATTTATTTATTTATTTTTATGTATTACCCCTCTCTTGTTCTGGGCCCTCAAAAGGATTGTGTCCAATTACAGAGTGACCCGCATAATGCTTTTTTTAGAGGTGCCTCTGCAGAAGGTCTTAAGTTGTTTTATACTACTCCGGTATTTCTCTTACGAATTAGGAAAACTACAGGAAAACCTAATTCGGAGTAGCCGCCAGAATTTTAGATAAAAATTGCCTTTTTTTTGCATGTCCACCTTACTATTATGTAAATTACATATGACTTATTAAAGATTAGAATATAAAATCCAGGAAAACCAAGATATTTTGAAAACTATCAGAGATAGGTATAGGCGAGGGTATAGGACATTATTATCAAAAATTGAAGGTTTTGGAGGAGCTGAATGATGACAGAAAATATACAGGGTGTTCTATTTAAAAAAAGTGAGACTTTTAATATGAAATTTTGCAACTTTGGGCCTACCAAAAAAACACCCTGTAAGCTATATTTTTAATGTTTCATATGGTAGATGTATTTATTTGACTTTTACTTAACCCAGGATAAGATATAAAACCTGGAATCAAAATTTAAGTAATAATTTTGACAATATATGCTGAAGCTTGCAAATGCCCAATTTTTTCTTAAAACTTGAATTATCTTGAAAACTACTAGCTTTTCGGATAATAACCATATAATAAAAAAGGCGTACACGTAGAATTCACAAATGCATTCAAATACAGGGGGTTCTATTTTAAAAAAATGTACCATTTTGGCGCCCTACTTTGTGGGCGCACCCTGTATAATTCCAAATATTTTTTAAATGCAGAGAATATTCAACCATATCATAATACAAAAGCACTCTATCGAAAAATCTTATCTTCTAGGCATGCAGACGCCACCACAAGTGGAAAAATTTTTATAATTTTGGATACCATGAAAAGCTTCCTTAAAAAAAGTCGTTTTGAAGGTATATTCAGGGTTTCAGACAAAATGTCTACCCTGTATATGTAAAGGGATCTGAACCCAATTACCACGTGTTTTGAAAAAATTAGTAAATTTAAGTCTTTTTCTAAAAATGGAGAAAGTAGTTCAGTTTCTTTTAGTTAAATCCCAAATGGAAATAGCAAAGGTATTGGTAGTTATAGGTATAAATTAGCAACATTTCTGAGGATACAGCAAAATAATCTACTCATAGTAGTCCAATCCAAAGAGAATTTTACCAAGTAGTTTACTGACACAAAAATGTGCCCGATTAATAAAACCAGTCACCTACAACAACGTGATACTACAATCTTATCTTTATTAAATACACCTAATACGAGATTATCGTTTAAACGCGTTACTCATAACAATATTGGCAACGAAATTTTTGTAAAGTGTGTAGTACCTGTAGGGTTTTGTAAAAAAACTGTGGCAAACAGTCATGATTTGAAGTGTCTTAAAGAATTTGGAAGGTAAATGCTAGATGTGTATTCGTGCTAGCTAAGGTATGTGAAATTTTTAGGTCAAATGGGAGCGGCACAATCACAAGAAGCTCAACTGCGGCGAAATTCCTCCTCTAGGAAATCGCCAAAACGTGATGACTTACAGACCAAATTTGACGCGATAGAGAATGTGAAAACAGAAATCGATCTCTTCGGTGGTAACCGACAAAGCGAGCGGTATTCGCAAATTCAGGAAACTCTGGCGAGTATCTCGAAGGACTTTCAAGAGAAGAAACTCGCATCGTCAAAACCAAAAACACGGAACAGATGCGACGACGGTTTAGGCGACATACAACACTGTTTAAAGCGCTTAGAGACTCGAGTGGATTTCAACGAACACTCGCTGGACTCCGCCGCTGTTGAATCGCATTCTTTCATTCAATCCTTCGCTCCGCATCAACAGGCCTCTCCAATGAGGGATGAAATTGATATTGCCAAAAGCATCAGCCGAATCGGACAGGAGGCGGCAAAACTAGAACACGATATTGAGCTTAATATTGAGTGGAGTGATCAAAAATTGTTCGAACAAAAAATTCAGTTTCTATACAAGGAACTGGATTCAATCTTCGTCGACAATCGGACACCTTTGGGCGAACAAAAGGCGAAAATTGCAGATAGACTGGCAAAGTGCAGCAACCAATTGAAGAGAGCCCAATCAGATATGCGTAAAAGTAGAACTGAAGAAGCGCTGCATATTTCAGATAAACCGAGAGAGACGCTGAGTCGAATTGAAGAAGACACTCAAAAGTTGGAACGCGACATAAAGCTCTGTATTGAATTGGACGACTACAATCAACTTAAGCTACTGAAAAGGAAAATTCAACTTCTCTATACTGATTTAGAAATGATTGTTGTCGAAAATCATACTCCCCTAAGCGAGCAAAAGGCGGCGATTGGCAAACGACTGATTAAGTATAATAATCAAATTAGAAAAAACAAGCGGGGAAATTTACAACAGTTGGAGAACATCGATAAGAAAGTGGAACGGTTGGGCGCCGAGGCGCTCTTGTTTGAAGGAATTGGAGGCGATATTAAGTGCAAGAGTATACAACAGGAGTTGGAGAACTACTGGACTATGGTATATCCTTTTGAATGCGTTAATGACGAAGAAAAAAATAAGAAGGCGCATATTGTGGCAAAAATTAAAAATACCATGGACGAGTTGGCCAAGCGAGTCGAAGCAAACCGACGAGAATTTGAAGCTCTTGGTAAGTTAACCGAGCAATCTACCAAGATCAACGAATTACAAGGAAAAACCACCAATTTCGTAGGCAGAGCGAATGATCCAGCCTTTGGGAAAATAGACAAGGAGCTCAGATTCCTTTGGACTGTACTTTCAGAAATTGAAGACGTAAGCGAGAAGGTTCGAGGAAAAAAAGGAGCCGCTATTACTCAGATCCAAACCGCTTTAAATACGCTAAATGAAAGGGCCCTCTGCCACGAAGAGGCGAGGATTCCAGAAGAGACGGAGGAATCTATACTTTTGAACAAAGTGAAATCTTTCGAGAACCAGTGGAATGGGCTGAATCATAATTTACAGGTGCACAAAATCAGTTCGGATGTTTCCAAGTTAATTGTGGATGTTCTGAAGAGGGTCTCGAATGGCACCGCACAAAAAGTGAACGCTTTAGATGTCATCGAAAAGCGTCGAAGTACCGGTAGCCTTGTAACCGTAAAAATTTTGGACACGGTTGGTGAGGTTAAAAGGCTTCCACCTCCTGTCGAAACCGAAATAAAAGCGCAACCTGCCGTCAAAGCGATCGGTGAAATGCAACGCATTGGACTGCAAGCCAAAGCTATACTGCAGGAGATACGAGAATCTAAATGCACGAAACACGACAAAGAATACGAACGACTTCGCAGCATGTTGGAGGAATGCAGAAGTTCGCTCGAAAAGATCGATTACAATAAGAAGAGCGATACCATCGAAAGTAACAAGAGGCGCGCCCTGAAAACTATAATGGAATCCATCCGTGTGCTCGAAGAGAAACCTTCGAAAAACTCCAAGGCTTGCGAGGTAATGGATATTCACGCAGAAATACAATATTTCCGCCAACAGATCAAAACCTTCACCGGAGTCACGAAAGACTTAAACTATAGCAAAATCAAGCAGGGCCTCTCGGACTGCCTGGTCAAACTGCAACTGATCGACGACGATCTTGCAATTAAACAAGACAATATACGACAAATACAGTTCTACCACCAAGAGCTCGAAACAAAACTGGCGGAGAACCAGGCGAAAGTTAAAATAAACAAGGAAATTGCGGATGCGAAGCGTCAGATCGCGCAGGAAACCAAGAACGTAATCGAGGACGTGCAAAAATTGAAGTCGCAAGTTGAAAGATTCAGCGGCGTCTATGACGGACTGCAATTCCAGCAAATCCAAGAGAACCTCAACAAGTGCAGCCGGAAGTTGGACGGCATCGATATTGTCGGCGACGAGAAGCTCGAAAATGCCAGAACGCAAACCAAACAAAAGATACAGAAATATCTGCAGGTTCTCGAGGAACGGTCTTCGAAACCGGAGATCGTGCCGGAAAGTTCGCCGCATCGTAAAATTAACGTGCTTAGGGATCGATTGGTCGACATCAAGGTGAAGACGGAGGAGTTCGATGGAAAGTACAAAGATGCGGGTTACGCGAAAATTGAAGAGGAGCTGGCGAGATGCTTGCAGGAGTTGAAAGTCATCGACGATAGGGGTCATAGGTCGATTGTGCTTAGTAAGGAGCAGTACGAAGAGTACATCGTCAAGCTTCTTCAGTACTTTGAAGATAAGACGAAGACGAGTGAGGCTGACGAGGAAATCGCTGACCCGTCCGAGGAGTTGGCGGCGATCGGACACGAGGTGGCAGATTTGAAAGGAAGGATTGATGCGGGGACTTCTGACTTAGCAAAGCTGCAAGAGAAAGGTGATTTACTGCGCGAGCAGTTGGCGAACGTTAATGCGGGTGACGCGAGCCATAAAAAGCAGCTCTTGGAAGATTTAGAAGGTTGTAAGCTTTTGCTGATGAGAAAAAGGCGAAACCAAGAGAAGTTTGATCACGCTTGGAAGAAGATTGTGGAGGTGGCGGACGAAGTGGAACGATTCGTCGGTGTTAAGAACGATAAAAACTATTGCCGGCTCGATGAGGTGCTGATTCAGCTAATGATGGAGTTGGACAAAATCGACTGCTCGGGAAATTCTGATATGAAGGTCGCTAAGCAGCAGGCGATGCAGATGATACAGAAGAGCATGGCAACTTTGGATCGGAAAGCGTCCAGTAGTTCTTTCAGTGCAACAGTGGTTTGACTTCCATTTCATTGCTACTTGCTATTTACGTGTTTGTATTATTTTGTCATTGTCAATTTGGTACGATTAAAAATTATTTAAATATTCCTGTTGTCCAGAAATGACAAGCTCCTGTCTATAATACTTCGCTAATAGATGGCAGTTGGAATTTACTAGCTAGAACTGTATCTAATCTTTATTGATAAGTTTTACAATCGCATTCTTAGACAATGTGGTAATTGAAGCCAGTCCCAGTTAAACATGGGTGCTAAATTATGCAAGCGCGGATCTTATGACTTCGAAAAGCATCTTAAAAGCTCTAATAAATTGGAAAGAAGAGCTATTTCGTTTATATCTTTAACGGCTAGTGAAATTTATGGAGACATCGTTCAAGATTATTATAGTGTGCCCCAACTACACGGCGAACTAAAGGAGGTACACCCAGCTCCACCAGTCACTAAACGAATAAAACTGTTTCGACATGGTCGCGTGACGTCGGAATCGACGAGTATCAAAGAATCTGGTCCACAATTTCGCACAGTTCAGGATCCTAGACCTTCATGCCACACCATCTCCTCGGACAACGATATATTTTATGATGCAGTGGAGTACTACGATACGATCTCGTTCACAACTGAATTTGACAATGCTGTAAGTCGTCACCTAGTTAAAGTTAATTTCGATGGACTTATTTTAGGCACTAGCAACCCTAGTCGAAAATACGAGCGATCCAGTCAAACACGTAAGTCTGATAATCACAAATTCAAGTTTCACCCTTATGTTTTAGAGAAACTCTTCCCAGAGTATAGTTGAGAGGGAACTGGAGAGCTCTTTAGAAGAAGACCGAGTAATTTACAAACCAAGTTTCCAAAGTATTGTATTCTCATTTTAGCTGCATTGTGAAGACAGTATTCCCAAGAAAATTTTTCATTCAACCCCCGACATTCTGATCCATTCGCTTGAAGCAGTGGAGCAACATAACTATGAAGAAATTAGGATCATTCAAACCAGTGTTACCGTGAGGAGAAGTGATAGTGAAGAAATAGTACATGTGGCAGAGAAAGTGAAGAATGGCACATCGAATAATGCCAGTGAAGACGAGCTATTGACCAGGGTAATGATTTATGCGCATTCGTATCTGATGTATCAGAAGCCCTTTGTCACAAAGACGCCCTTTGTCACAAAACCATATAATCCTTCGTTAAACCGGGACTAGAAAACTGGTGACCCCCAAAATATGTGTAGACTTAAATATCAGTAAATTGAAGGGATCCTCTTTCCAGTTCTGATCAATTTTTCCAAAACATGTTCACTCCATTCTCCAAGACGAATAAAAATTGATTTCTGGGATTTAAAGACTGCCCGAATTCTACAATATGTAACCCTAATATCCAAATCAAGTAAGGGTTTGGAAACCAAAAATACATAAGATCAACCATATTATGCATATTTTATGTTGCCGTATAGGACATTAATTGCTCTTTTCAAGTATCTTAAAAAACCATGGGCGTATTTGAAAAACAAAAGTTACATCTATTTCCGGTTGATCCGGACGCGATACCGGAAGTTCAAATATGCAATCGGATATTGAGGTGCCCTTTTTATTTCAAACGTCCTGTATATTGTGACAAATAGACAATCATAGTCAGAAGGTCTTAAATAGCGATAGCGTAGATATAGTGCATAATAAAAAGCTTTCATAATCCAATGGAAATTGCAAAAAAGCGCTGGGAGCATCTAACAAGGAAAAATATTGGCTCCACTCAACGCAGAAAATAAAGTATTGCTGTGTGCAATGGCATGCGGTCACTATGCCGCTCACAAAGCACTTCTCCAGCTAGCTTAAATCAAATCAAAATTAGAACTTAAAATTTTACAGTCTCTCCTCGTACACATCGGGCATTTGTTATAAGGAAAAATCCCAATATTTACTTAAAATTTCGCAATTTAAGAGACTGGGTGGCTTCGATTAACTCGAAAATTCCAAAGAATTTATTTCGCAAATTTGTATCAACAGCTGAAATAAATCTTGGACACGAATAGAAAAATTTGACGAAAACTCTGTCTGATTCGCACTTTGGGTTCGAATAAACACACAATTAATTGATTGACGCATGAGGGAATTAAAGCAAAATCCCTGAAAGATAGAAAGCCTTAGAAGACCTATTTGGACATATTACCCCCACGCAAGCGGACGACCGTTAAAATAAGGAATCTTATATTACTTACAGTTTTTCCTTAATAATCGGTTTTAAAAGGTTTGCGATACTAGACGCACTTAACGCACACACAAATGCTGTCAGTTTATGAACTTCATTTTGCTTTATACGAACTAGATAAGAAACAAAACTAGCTTGATGAATAAGATGAAAAATTTTCGGTAGCTGTTCGTACGGTAGAAACCTATAACCTTTAATAACAAAAGGTCTGACTGTAGTACAACTGCTTGCTTTTTCAACTGGACGAAACTATTTTCCGAAATTGGGCAACACCCGTTAAACTTCTCACACAACCACATTTATTATAAAAATCACTCTAAAACTAAACAAATAAGGCCGACTACCCCAAAAGTTAGCGTAAAATGTTTTACCGGCTCCTCGACCGTGGCAAAACCAGCCTCGTTTTTCAGTTGATTCCTATATTTAAAAGACCACTACTTCCTCTACACCATAATCTCCTTTTTTATGAATTTTCCAATACACCGGCAATCACAATTAGACTTGAATCACGCCAGCCTAGACAGAATGCGCCAAACGTCCCCACTTATAAAACGCACAATTCTTCGTAACACCTGCATCTCTTAACAGTGATAAAACACATGCGTTGATTAATTTCGCTTGATAAAAAAAGCTTCTTATCGCAAACGACCAGATGTAACCATACTTCTAACTTCTTAACAATTTACAAATAAAATAAAATTTAAACAAAAATTACGCAACTACACAAATTACTAAAAGAAAAACAAACAATGGAATACAAATTCAAGTAAAATAAACCAACTCCGTGCTTATTCGTAACTAACCCACCAGATTTATACTTGAAAATTGAAATTATATCACTTACAGGATTCCCCAAACTTATTGAAGGTGCTGACGTGACGTAGTTTACACAACGGTATCTTGCGTAGGAATCTGTTTTGACAGAGATTTCAATATCGATGATCCATACATACTCTTATATCACCATTTGACTTCGGGGGCTGTGACTATGGGATGTACCCAGTCAGTAGCTAGAGTAACAAATTTCAAGGTTCTAGCGCATTTTTTAAAAATTGGTGTTATCCTTCATGGTACCTACTCTAATGAAAGGTCTCAACGAAAAGAATTAATTTCTACCAACCATAGCCCTCTTCCTGAATCCATTATCGTGATCGGATATGATTCCTTATATCTCAAGAACAGATTGTCGGAGGGAGGCTCTCCCAAACGACAATTGCGACATCGGGAAGGCCCGTGTGGCGCAGTTAAAGTTTAAGCTTGACTGCTCTACTATGGTGGGTTGGGTTGGTAGAGCAGCCCTTGGCTGATACCCCGCTGACTCAAAAATAAAGACCAAATGACAAAATCAAAATAAATCCATCGGTAATGTCAAAACTTTAAGAGCGAATATCTGCAGAACGAAGTTTCGGAGGAGGGTACGCTCAAAGGGCGGCATGATGCTCTAGACGAGACACATCTACTGATGATGTAAAAACTTAATTGTGAATATCTCGCAAATGTTGGGGGAAAATGCAATATTTCGGAAAATTTCTCTTAGGGATTAATTCTTCTTGCATTATATTGCGTAGATATATTTAAAAAATATTATTATCATCTGCCACCTTTTTTTAAATGAAAATTATTAGTTTTCAACTGCTCCAGGGCCCATTCAACGAAAACACGTCGTTGGCTATGGCCGCCGACCTTCAGTTATTAGTTATATTTACAGGGGCTGAAAATGAATTTTAATCTCTACGGCACTGGTAGTATCATTATTGTATATGAAATTACGTGTAATAAAATAATTACTACCACGGCTAGCTCAGCAATTAATAACCTTTAATGATTCTTAACTTGCGGAAGGTTGGCTCTTTTCTCAAATAAATCATGTAAACTAACTTGTTTGGTACAAATAAAATCGTTCCAATTCCACTTTTCTTTATTTTTCGTAATTTAAAATATTATCTCCAACACCTGGCACATTTTCCTAGTAAAAAAACAAATTTAAATACCTCTGTATGCTAAATAAAATTTAATCCACACAAATGGTGTTAAAGAATTTCAAGGTCAACTCCACAATTAATGGGCAAACAAATCACTAAAATGTTTGGTTTGGGTTAGCTTATCACTCATAAAAAATACGTACATTTCCCACTTCCGTGGGTCGACCTCTTCAGGAATGCTAAATTTTCAACGAATTTCAAACGAATTCTTTATTTTCCATCACATATATTATTTTAACACATGAGCAAGAAACAGATGGTATAACAATTTGAAGTTGTTGGTGAAATTGGTTCAGAAACTTCGTGAATTCAACTGTACCGCTTTCGGTTCGAACAATGAATCTCCACGCGATCTCACATGATTCACCTCAAAAGCTAGGAGAGGAGTTTTGTGTTACGTTATTTAAAAATTTTCGCGTTTAGGTAACGCAGTTTTGCCTCGAAAGTTTAGCTAATAGTGTCGCTCTCCCACCAGATTTTTACTTATGTACTCAGCGGCTCCTACACCTGAAACGGTTCCAACGCAAAACCGATTTTGGTTATGTTTTTTGTGCATGTGAAGGTACCTATAGTAGAAACGCCGTCCTTCATACTTTACGACAGTTTTGAAAACTTGCAACGCTGTAGCGTTTCGATTCTTATCTGTAAATCGTTTTTATCTTTCATTATTATGTATACGTATAAATTTTTCTATACCGGCAAATTTGCAAATTTTTAAACAAAAGCGTTCCAAGCCAGGAGCGACCACTTGTTACACTCTTTTTTTAAATTCGCACGAGAGGGATAACTTATTGTCAAAAATGTGTATATTTTAACATATTCAAAATCCCCATTAATCACGGCCCGAGAAATCAGTCAAAATCCAAGATGGTGGACGAATTTTGTATTTTTCAGTAAAAAATTTAGAACTTGGTCATTTCAATGAAATGTGGCAAAAATGTTTAAAACACAAAGATCAAAGTACACCTACAAAAAATAACCACTGACTTTATTTTTTTTTCAAAGTGACGGCGATTTAAATATTTAGCTATTTAGTTTTAAAATATTAATATGACAGCCATTTTGAAAATAATGGAGTAGATTGTTTTTTATACCTTTCTTTCGTATATAAATAAGATTATGATAGGTATAGATTACTCAAATTAGGTCCCTTGCATCAGAGAAAACCTTATTACACATTAGACTTAGAAGAACCAAAAAAACATTCTTTCGGTAATTACATTTCATGGCACCACAGACGGTTATGTAGTTACATCTTACTGTGCGTTTTCGGCACAAATATTCTCGTAGGCTATTGTCACAGTATATCCTTCTTTTATACTGTGCTATGGTACTTGACAGCTAATTTCGTTAGGGGAAGGTTCTAGCGTGAACGAAACATTTTGCCTTTGATATTTATCAATAGGTAATATTTCTATACCTAAGGTTTAGTGTATCATCTGGATTTCCACCAAAAATACATACCATTAACGTCTTTTCAAATTGTGCAAGTTCACGAAAGTCAGTAGTTATTTTTTTATATTTTTATCCGCATCTGCTAGGCCAGCAAGTTTAACCCTCCACGTGTTTTCTCGCGGAACAGGTTTTTTTAAGCCATTTTTACGGTATGCCACCCTGTTATGTTTAGTTATTTATTGGGTAGCTTAAAAGGCGTTAAATAAACAAAAGGTTACTATGATTGGCAGGGCCGGATCTACATAGTTTTCGCCTATGGGCCCCTCGACCCCCAAACCAATTAAAAAAAATTATTTTTTACTAATTACAGAAAAGTACAATTTTCTTTCTCCTAATTTGCTCAGATTAATTTAATTAGTAATAAAAACATTTGTTATATTAATTTGAGATTTATAAACTGTTATTGAAACAAAGTATAATATCTGTAACCACTGAATAGTATTTCAGAGAATTCAGAGAAGCTATTATTAGTTATAGTTATATTAGAGCTAACTCTAAAGTGCAAATTAAGTAAGAGTTTGGAAACCAGAGTAATACATAATAGAAATAAAGTGACGTTAATAAATATTTCTTTGTATGCCAATAATTCGTAACCATATTCGATTCTAAGGGATTGTCTAACCGGCATGCAACAATTTAGCAACACATTGAAAAATGACACGTCATGGTGGGATTTTTGCCAAAAACCCGCCCCGATTGTAGTACTCTAAGATCCGGTTACAATCCTTTTTTTGTTTCCTAAAAGTCAAAATCCACTAGCAAGGATCGTAAGCAACTGGATTTTGAGCAACTTCCGATGGAAAGTTGTATATTCCTTTAAAAGCGACTCTCTCATATTAAACTGTTACGTTATTTCAATTGTGCACTTTTTCCCGGGAAACATCGGACTACCCGCTACTCTCATATAACACTGCAATAATTACATAATTACAACACGTCCCGTTCCCCGGTCTAGTCGTTCTGGAATAAGATATGTTTTTAGTTTTCTAAAGATTACTTCACTTGCTGCTATTGGACTGTTTTCTGTATTTTTAAATGCACCAAAAGGTTCCCTGACGATTCCAGAAATGTTTTGCCTATTTTAAAGTCGTTACTGTGGTAGTATTGCAGTCCATTGAAAAAGAAAGGACCAAAGTGGATTAGTAAATCCTACGTCACTTTTTCATTCATTTCGATCTTGGTATTTCTTCATAATTTCCTCCCCATCAATTATCTACCTTCTACGGCAAAAGTTTAGAATAAATTCGAGCAACAATACCCAAAAAAATATAGTACTAATTCCTTATTTAAAAATGCGAGCAATTATAACATCCCAGTTTTCTGCGATAGGTTGTTCCTGAAGTCGAGAAGGCAAAAGACTTAGAAGGAGTAACCGAATATAAATCCGAACCACTGAATGATCTTCAATCTCGTTTTACTGAATATGTAACATCCAAACCAGATATTTGTGACCACTCAAGTTTCACAACAGAATCCCAGATGGAGAATTTGGTAAGCCTATGCAAAAGATTCTACGCCAATTTAAGATTCCCTTTCAGACTACCAAAATTGAGGAAAGATCTGAATGGATTGATGAAAACAATATCGTATTACGATTGAAAATGATAGCGCAAGAAGTAGCTCGCTTAAAAACTGAGATCGATGGAGAAATCGACTACGTTAACTACTACCAAAACTTAATGAAAGTCATGATGGACGTCAATGCGATTAAAAACGAAGAATTTGACGAAGAAGTGTTTTCGCTACAGAACGAGACACTGGCCGAAATTCGCGCCTGCTTGGAGGCTTTAAAGTTAAAAAAAGAGCATAGGTAGCCTCCCCAGTTGAACAACATGTAGTATTAGTTTAATTGCTGAAAATAGTGAACTATATTCTTATCTACCGTAAACAATCCTTATCAGACGATAAAACGGTTTTATTTGTGATAACCTCCGTTGTAAAAAAACATTCGTTTTCTTATAATACCGCGAGATTCGCTCTGTTTGTTAAATCAAGTTGAATCATTTTAGTGCAGAAAATGGGAGGGCTATTCTCGACATCGTACGACGTTCAAAAGGTAGGGCAAAACGTAAAGGGTGCAAGCAAGAAGAGACCGCCGAGCAGTGTTAGTCACGAGATTAAAACAACGGAATCCGGGAATAACGTGTTTGCCAAGAGTGACATTGAGATAATCGGCCCCATAAACGAACTTGATGACGGCGGAAAGAAGGAAGACGCTAAAACGGTACGTATTGATGAAACTAAAACGGAAGTCTTCGAGCATGCCGAGGTACGCGAAGATCCGCCGCCGCCGCAAATTAGTCCCGAGGAACGGAAGAAACAGGAAGATCTGATGATGGCCATGGTTAGAGGGGAAATTCATCCTAGGGATAGTGTAAGCGAGGACGCGAATGTTATCGTTAAAACGATCGGGTCAATTACCGCCCTTGAAGCTCAAGCGGAATTGGCAAATTGCTCGCCATCGGTAGACGAGGAAAATGTAAGCACTCCCGAAGAAGTAACGGAGAAGTCTAGTGTGACTGAGGATCAGGACGTGATACGACAAGTGGTACAGGTACAAGTTAATAACGTGAGCGAAGAGTTAACAACAGCGTCAAGTACACAATTAGATGAGGAATCAACAGTGACCAACAAGTGTATAGACCCAAAACCGAGTTTGATAGTTGCCGAGGAATTAAAATGTGAAAAGGAGGTGGTATCACAGATCACAGATTTAAATGTAGATGAAAAGCAGCCAGGGGATGAAAACAAGGTTAATGTGGCAGCTAATGTAGTTGTACATGTAAGGGATGAGGCGGATCCAGATAATGAATCCCTTGAACCGCTAACTCAATCAACAGAAGCCGTCGTCGTCTCAGAAATCAAACCAGAAGTGGATAAAGCGGCTGGTTCACCGACAGAAAACAAGGTCAATGTAGCAGCGAACCTAAATGTACACGAAAGGGAGGAGGTGGATCCAAGTAATGAACCCCTTGAACCGCTAATTCAATCAACAGAAGCCATCGTCGTCTCAGAAATCAAACCAGAAGTGGATAAAGCGGTTGGTTCACCGACAGAAAACAAGGTCAATGTAGCAGCGAACCTAAATGTACACGAAAGGGAGGAGGTGGATCCAAGTAATGAACCCCTTGAACCGCTAATTCAATCAACAGAAGCCATCGTCGTCTCAGAAATCAAACCAGAAGTGGATAAAGAGGTTGGTTCGCCGACGGAAAACAAGGTCAATGTGGCAGGGGACATAATCCTTAATGTAAGGGAGGAGGTGCATCCCCTTAAACCACTACCTCAATCAACAGATCTCATCGTCGCATTGCAATCGAAACCAGAAGCGGATAAAGAGGTAAACGAAGAAGCCGGTTTAGGTATAAAAGTAGATGAGTTACCAGAAAGTGCATCTACTGTAACGGGGGACGTGTCAGTTGCTGCAGAGATACAAAGCGTAGAAGAGAAGGCGAAAAAACTGAAAGAGAAAATAATCAACTTCTCGGGCACCTCAAAGAATAAGGAGTACGATGAGCTATACCAGGCGCTAGTAACTAACATTCTCAAATTGGACGACCTCTCCTGTAGCAGCGCCGAATTGGACAACGAAAGACGAAGGGTTATAAAGATACTTCAGCAGTGTATGCAGAACTTGGAGCGTAAAATAGACTCGGTTAAGAATGTTGAAAGTGATTCAGAGTGACAGATGCTCTATTTTAAGATCGTTAGTAAATAAAGATTTTTTTGTGTAATCTTGTAGATTACTCTTATCTGCTTTTTCGTGTACCTACATACTTGTTTCGTGGTGGGTCGAATGTAACTGAATTCCTCTGAAAAGGGATAATGTAAAGCAAATAATTGTCGACGAGTGATGTTTGAGCAGAGATCAAAAGGGTAATTTTATTCCGGAGCGGTCGTGAATCAAACTCAGATAATGCAATATTTTTATCTCATTTGCTATTTTTCTTTTGTTCCATATTACGAAACTGTACAATCATTTTTTGTTTAAGTATGCATTAAAGTGGACTGAATTAATCATCATGGACCAGTATCAATAAAAGATATTTCCGAATTGAACCTCTACAAAATTACTGTTCCCAATTTATCGTTATACCTTGCGCGTTTTTGTCCTGAAGCCATTGTTACACCCAGTTGCAATCTGTTTCAGGCAATTATGATCATACAAGGGATATAATGGTGGATATCCAACGGCGGTATCCATGTTATTAAAGATTAACTCTCTAACGATGGCGATCAATTATTTCTGTCAGCATGACGATATTTTAGGTATTGTAAATTATACGATATTGGTTTTACTAGTTATTAAATATACTGACGGTAGCAGTAGTTCCCAAACGCCAAGTTGGGTGGGGTGAATCTTTGTTGATAGTTAGACGTCACTTAAAACTGAAAAATGTTAAAAATGACCGAGAAAATATTTTTTTATACAATCATTTGCAAAAGCAACCAGATCAGACACCTATTTTATTTGCATGTACATAATTTCGTACCAAAATTGGTCATACATTGTACAGGGTGGTCCAAATTGGACACTTTCATATAGAAACACCCTTTATTTTAAGAGATAGAAAAAAATGTACCCATGTGTCAGGATTTTTAAAGAGAAAATCACTGGCACAAACAAAATTAGAGGGCGTTTTTCGAACTTAATCGATTTCTTTAATGCGCCCTAACTTTCTCACTATTAAACATAGATTTGGAAAAAATTTTTCTTAGGGCACGTAGGACATGTAAAATCCATCGCGACTAACAGTTTTTATACATGGTGTTTGGTTTTTCTGACCATGTACATGTACGTGCAAAATTTGTCTAAAGTGGACAGTTTTTTTTAGTTTTTTTAGAAAAATTTTACAAGTACAATTTTTTATCCGTTTTTTATGCTCTTTCCATTGATGCATAGTAAAGTTATGGTTTTCATTGAAAATTTCGAGTTTTTAACCAAACACTGATTGTCAATTTTGAAGACATATTATTTTCTTATCACATTTGGCAATCAAACCAATAACATTTAATAGCGTGGACTTGGAGCTGTTCATTCGTGAAAAAAACATTTTTTTAAGTTGTCAGACAACAGTGATGTGGCTAATTTACTGAACCTCTGAAACTGTGAAAAAATTTCAAAAATGCCAAATAACTTCGAAACCATGTCAGTTAGACATAGCATCATATTGACAAAGTCATACTGATTTTTTATGAGAAATTCCAAAATGCCATCAGAGAACATGGTGCTATTTGAAATCAGAAAGTTCCGGTACCGTTCTCATATAACCGGAACAGCGGTTATCTTGAAGATATTTTTAAATGATTACTTTTGATCGATTATTCAAAAAAGGTAATGGGGTCCCGAATCGAAATTACATACCGTTCCTGAAATATTTCTAATTGCCCGCTTAAAAACACCACCCTGTATATTTTGGAGTTTTTGAAAAGAGCGAATATTTCCTAACTGTATTACTTGTTCTATTTATATTAACTGTTATTTGCAATTTTGATTAAAATATTTTTACTGCAAACATCTAGGTTTCAATGCCGAACAAAAGATGGCAGGATTGTTGAAATGACAATTTGGTTATTTGAAAATTTTATTCGTTCCAAATATTGTTAATTTCAACAAATAACACACAAAAAACAAAGGACGTGATAAGTCATATGAATAAAAGAATAAGTCATATAAAATATAAATAAATAATGCAGATAACCAAGAAATTGTCATTGTAAACAACTCTGCCATCTTTTGTTTGCCATGTAAACCTGGATGTCTGCAATAAAAGTATTTTAATGTATAAAATGCAATATTAGAAATAAGATTTATTATAAATTTAATAAGTGATACATCAAAATTTAGGAAATTTTACACTATTTCCAAAAACTCCAAAGTATATAGGGTGGCCCATATGAAAAAGTGTAGTTTATTGTCGTATAAGAAAAACTAACCTCTATAAAAACGGCGTATTCCGATGGATTCTAGGTAAGAAAGTACTCTCAGAAAAATAATAAGGAAGTTATTGAAGAAGTCGGCTAGACACCTAGGTTCATATTTTTCTATGGCTTAAAATAAAGGGCGTTTACATAACTAAGTATCCAATTTGGGCCACCCTGTACATGTCGCAGTCACTGTGGAAAATGCTTCAATTTGTTAAATATTTTTATCCTTTTTGCTATCAAAAAATAAAAATGTTAAAATTCATTAGGGGTAGAGAAAATACCAAAAAAATTGAAATTGTTTTATTTGTAAAAGTAAATAATTTAACAATAAAAAAACATTCAGAAATCACTGTAAAAGAAACTGTGGGTATCTTTCGATTTGTTTAACTACAAAAAATTCCCTTTAATTTACTTCTTCGGGTGCTTTAATTTTCTCAGTGATTTCTATTTGTTCATATCACTCATCTGCATTGCGCTAACAAAGGCACGATCAAGTTCAATATCCTTAATTATTAATCGAAAAATTAGAAACCGTTTGCGAGTTATCGTGTACACAGACGGACGGACGGACACAAAATCATCCACGAGCTGGGTCGATCGTTAATAATCACAAAGTCATTAATTGAGAATTGAGTTTCACTTTTTGATGGCCGATTATTCATTTTTGCCTCAGAGCAATAGTTAACGAGATATTCGAAGTCAAATGCGAAACATTTTCTCTTCGTTTTTGTTTGTAACAATATGTTCGGGAAGTTTCCCGGCCAGGGGGACTATGATTTTCGGATTCAGCGGATTTTTCTACATAGAGTAGGTACTTGGTTTTGTTGAGCGCAGTGACAGCCCAATCCGTAATTTGATTGGCTAGTAATATGTTTCAGGACATTCTCTACACGATAGTGATATTAGATTTTCAATTG